TTGTTGTTGTAGAGAACCAATTGGTTTTCCAGTGTTATTGAAAATTGAAAGGCCATTATTGACAGAAGGGCCTAAGCCAACAAGATTTCTGGGGATGCAATCACCTCTTGTCTCAACTTCTCCTTGAAAATAAAGTGACATAAAGTATGAGATCTCATTCATTATATAATTCTCGCATATTGATCCTTCTTGATGAGCTTTATTTTTCACAAAGCTCTTCAATCCATGCATTCGTCTAATTCATAAAAAATAAAATTAAATAATTAATATATAATAAACCATATTATATTATATAATATAAATTTAATATATTAAACAAAATTTAGTATTCGAATAATATCTCTCAAATGGATACATCCAAAAAAATTGCACTGGTCCCCCCACCTTGGCTTCATATGGAAGGTGAATTGCTAGATGCTCCATTGAATCAAAAAAAGAAGGAGGGAAGATTCTTTCAAGTTGGCATATTGTTTCTACAATCTTCCCTTGCCAAATCTCCATATCTGTAACTCGAATGGTTGGAGAACATAAGGCTCTAAAAAACTCACTAACCTCAGTAAGTGCTTCCCAAACTTATTTTGGGAGAAAATCACGGAATGCAATTGGAAGGAGACTTTGCATGAATATGTGACAATCATGACTCTTCATCCCACTAACTTTCACCTCTTGCATATTCACACATCGAGAGATGTTTGATGCAAAACCATCAGGAAATCTAAGATTCTTTAGCCACTGGCACACAGATTTTCTTTGTTCCCTGTTTAAGACATAAGTGGCATTCGGTTTTTTACCCGCATTAGAGCCTGTTTCTGGTATATAAAGACTTGGCATATTACAATACAATTCCATATCCATCCTTGCCTTCAAGTTGTCCTTCGTTAATGGGTCATCCATGACAGTGTAAAAGATATTATCAAAAATTTTTTTCTCACAGTGCATTACATCAAGGTTATGACGAATTAAGTTTGTGCTCCAATAAGGAAGCTCCCAAAAGATATTCCGTTTAACCTAGTTATGCCATTGACCAAATCCTTCGATCACTTGCCTTTGGGATGGCTTCCCAAATAGTATATCAAGCAATTGCTGAATTTGTCGATGCATATCATCACCCGATAATCTCTCTGGTGGAGCCCGATTCTCTACATGGCCTTTTTTAAATTCACTCCCATTTCTCCTGAATGGATGGTCGGGAGGTAAAAACTGTCGGTGACAATCAAAAAATGAAATCTTTCGACCATTTGGAAGGTGGAATGCCTTAGAATTTTCTTGACAATACGAACATGACAATCTACCGTGTGTGCTCCATCCAGATAACATACCATATCCAGGGAAGTCAGTAATTGTCCACATAAGTGCTGCTCTCATAATGAAATGTTTATGCCTAAAACTATCATATGTCTTCACCCCGTTATACCAAAGTTCCTTTAATCCATCAATCAGTGGCCGTAGCAAAACATCAATGTTTTTTCCAGGACTTTAAGGACCTTGTATTATTAGAGAAAGAAAGATGAACTCTGGTTTCATACACATTGCTGGAGGTAGGTTGTAGACAGTCAAAAATACAGGCCAACATGAATACGGGGCGGATGTATGCCCAAATGGAGTGAACCCATCTGTGCACAATCCAAGCCTGACATTCCTTGGATCTGATGCAAAGTCGGGGTAGGTGTGATCGAAGTGTTTCCATGCCTCAGCATCGGTAGGATGCATAATCTTTTCAGATACACCACCACAATTCAAGTGCCATATCATGTGTTCAGCAATTTTTCTACACATGTACAACCTTTTGAGTCTAGGTGTAATCGGGAGATACCACAATGACTTCCTTGGTATATGTTGATTTTGTTGCATATGTCCTTGTTTATAACGAGGTTCACCACATATTGGACAGGCAATGTACTTTTTGTTTTCATATTCACCATAATACAAGAAGCAGTTATTAACACAAACATCATACTTTTTATAACCCAGACTGAAGCGCTTCATCATCTTTTTAGCACTGTAAAAATCTTTTGGAATTCTATCCCGATCCTCTGGCTTCATCCATCTTCTAGTACACTTTAACATATAATCCCAATTAGCCACACTCATATTATAGAGTGTCTTTGCATTCAAAAAATGAGACACCCACTTTAGTATTGTATCACCATCATCACATCCATCATAAAGTGGCATGTCAGCAGCTTGTAGAAGATCAAAAAATTCCTTTGCATCTCCCATTGCCTCCTCAAAGATTGGCTCATCACTGGCTTGTTCATTCATATTATATTCCATACCATGTAAATTTGCATCCATAACCATATCTCTAATTGGATCATTACATTGTTCTTCCATCACAAATGGAGTTGCACTAGAGGATTCCCCCAACTGATGACGTTGTCACCTTCGCAGTGGCTGCTCTCCGTGTGCAAGCCAAACTATATACCCATTCATAAAACCCTGTTTTGTCAAATGACATTGCACAGTAACACGACGATGCCATTCTTGGTTCATACATTTACTGCAGGGACACTTAATCCGATTTCTACAACAAAACTCTGGATTGGACTGGGAAAATGCATAATCCAGGAAAGACTCCACACCAATTTTGAATTCATCTGTATAACAGCCATTATCATCTAAACGATGATACATCCAACCTCGATCTCCCATCATGTGAAATATTTCCTTAAATTTATATTAAAAATATTGATCTCCGCACACAATAAATAATACATCTACTTTAATAATAGTAAGTTACATAAAAACTAAGAAATTAAAATAATCACAATTTACCAATCAATTAATTAATATCTTTAATAATTTAGAAATCAATTAAATAGTATAATTATAATTTACTTATCAATTAAATTATTGTGTAAATATAATTTATTAATCTATTAATCAATTAATTGATTAATTATATCTGTTTAATCAATTAAAAAATTTAATTAAGTGTAACTTAATTCTCAAATAAAGAGTATAAGTATAATTGAGTAATCAATCAATTAATCAGTAAACCATAATTAATCAATCAATTAATTAACATTATGTTAAATGAGTTTAATCATAATTTATAAAGAA